TAGGGAAAGGGAGCAGTCCCTGAAATTCACCGTTTCCACCTGTAAAATCCAGTTAATGTATGTTTGCAAACATTTGTAAATTCAGTGATACCTGTCCGATACAAAACTCAGCAAATGTGCAGTGACTTCTCCTGAGGAGGAATGGTTTGTTGTACAGCCTAAGCAGCGTACTTCCAAGCAAGCAGGTAGCTTCAGCGCCTTAAGTCATGGCAGCGTTGAGCTCCCCAAAGTGTAATTGAATTTAAAAAAACCTGAAACAAATATTTAACAAACACTTCCATTTTCCAGAGGTGTTCTGGAACCATCCAGAAGAAGAAGATCTCAGCGCATGCGGTGTAATCACCTCCCTTGGATATTATTTGAGAAAGTTCTCAATTCCTTAAAAATCTATCATCTGCCATGACACTCTTACGGTATTTTTACTCTGTCTAGAATAGATAAGTAGAAAGAAAAATTTCTAAATACTATCAGTCAGATTCAGTATCTGAAGCTAATTGTTTTGGAGAGCCAGAATGCCAGATCTTCCATACAACTTCTTCTGGTCTCCAAAAGTCATACGTCGTTATTAGCACAACTTCACCAGAACTTATGCCTTCTTAAAAGTAATTTGATTGTTGGGATGGTTATTTTGGATGAAGCTATTCACATAACAGAGAGGTTAATTTTATACATGCATACTGCCAGTTTTCTAAGGATAAATGCATTTTTCCTTAGATATTTTTTTCAATTCTTAACCACTCTCCACTAAGTAGCTGCTAGCACAGATCTCCAAGGAGCGTCTGCATGTTTTAGCTTAATTGAAAGAAAATTGATGACTACCATTTATACAGTTAAATGTTATCCAGACAGATAACACATCCCTTGTATCAAAATAGGATATTGCTCATTTAGAATTATATGTGGGAAGCTTTATGTTTGTTTTCCAAACTGATTAAAAATAACAGGATAAATCTGTTGTACCTGTGCTGTAAAGCAGGAAAAAAAATTAAGTCAGAATTTGAGAGGGTACAGAAGAATTCATTTCACCTTCATCAACAGTCTAGGAGAGACTCAATGCATGTCACCTGAAATCAGTAATGCAAAACCCGATTAAAAAAATCTATTCCAAGGAGTGCCTTACTAGCATATTTTATTTTATGCCTCTGTGGCTTTAAATTATTTGCCCCTTTCTAGCACCTCATCTCCCTTGCCTTTCTTGTTAGGCTTCCACAGAGTCCGAGACTTTGGCTGCTTCAGGAGGAATTATGCTTTTCCTCAGCTGCTGATGCTGACCTGACAAGAGACATTGTCAACAATTCTCCAAAATTTAAAATTTGCTGCCTGTTATGTCTGCTTGTGCAATTCCTCCTATTTGGCTCAAACGAAGACTGATACAAGAACAGGGTGCTGTGCTGCTCGGTTGCTGAAGAACAGCAGCCCATTTGGCGACCCTTCCTGGTGCCACAGCCCTGCCCAGGGTGGGAGAAGTCTCCAGGGCTGGCCTGTGGTGAGCAGTGGGCGAGAGGCCGAGCCCAGGCCTCCCCACCGCTCCAACAATGGTTTGTGGTCATCATGAATCGCAACTTGAGCAAAACTCCTCGCTGCCGCCAGACAAAATCCTTTTTGAAGCCTGACGTCCCAGCTGGAGGGGCCGCAGGAGGCCCAGCATGGTCAGACCACCGGCCCAGAGCCGGGGACCCGCGCGTCCCTCAGCGTCAGTGGAAGGGGGAGGT